TACTGAACGCAAAGGATGAATCAACACTCAATGAGCAGAATGGTAAGAACGAACCAAACACGAAGAACAAGGCACGAGCGAAGTAGGCACAGTCCGGACACGCCGCCTGTTGTCTCATCCACACCGCAGATGGAGAGTGCAGAGATCATGAACGACCACCTGGTACAGGTAGCTGATAATCCACACGAAATAGTCTGAGCTAGTGACGTCACTGCCTTCGCTTCTCGCGTATTTATCTTAGTCATGATGTCCAGAAAGCTACTCGAAACCTTATGTCGATTCCCCGACAAAGACTCGAAGACAGGGCTCCCAAAATCAAGGCACATACAGGCGCAACACAACTATCGCCCGCTCTGATCAACTCCTCGCTCAGAGCACACAAAGGATACGTAAGAATCCAGTTGGTGTTTGGACTTCGAAGTAATTTCTCGGCACGAGCCAGTATCCTATATTAATCACCAACAGCACAATGGAAATCACACATTTCCTGTGCAAATGATTCATCCCCCCGCCAAGCGATTTCATAATCGTTCTAGTCATGGCGTATCAACGCATGAAACCGGTGAAGACGAAACTAAACCCTGAAAATTGACGGAACTTTAGGGAGTAGCAGCGGTCATCATTTCTGGTTCGTAAAATGACGATCCTAGTTTCAAAGTTTTCCCCAGTCCCTGTGGGAAAATTTTGAAATAAATAAGATCCGGTTATCACAAATTTTCAAGGGATTTGATGAAAACTTAAAGTACGCTGTTGCTCAGCAGTGGAGGTTTGTTTCTTTCCCATTCTACATTTTCCTTCCTTCCCTCCTTGCTTTCTCCTTCTGCTGTTTTCAGAAGGCAGCTCGTCAGCGCATTAACACGTAAATTAAAAAAAAAATCGAAGTACGAACACAGTATTTGCATTAACGGACTTTCAAACAAACCATTTTCTATAAATTTCTTGCTGTTTCCAGTTTTGCATAAAACAGATTCCTCTATTACAGGCAATTTTACTCAGGTTTCCGTTTTCATTTTTGACAGGTATTAAAGTAGGCCACGGCCTCCTTCCAAACTTCGTTTGCTATACAGATCCTGCCACTTCCCGCTGGCGCTGTTAAAAAATGCACCTGACGTCCTCAAACAAGCCACGCCACAGACAGACACAAGATAATTTGAGAAATATCATTTGCGTCCGTCCGAAGTCTGCAAGTCGACTTCTTTCTGCGGACTGAGGTCAATGCATGAAGGTCGAGTTGGAGACGCAGGACCTGAACGGTTAGGCTCCAGAAGAGCAGACTTGTAGATAGACAAGCGAAAGGATAGAAGACTTCGTGGCCTCACTGTCGACGACGAAGACAAAATTCCTGTCCCTGCTGGGAATCGAACACCGGTCGCCTAGCTCATAGCGACGTTACAGAACCAGCGGGCGAGCCCATACGAAAACTGGCAGTTCAGTTTTTAAACCGACGTGTACGAGAAATGTCCAGGCCTATGTTGCGTTCTTAATTTCGGAGTTTATATTACGTGACAAAAACTGATGTACTCTCTGACAAAAGAACCTAACCTAACCTAATTTAATTCTCATAAAATGAACTTCCAACTGTGGTCACTAAGCATCACGTCCTCCCTCTGCTTCCAAGTCTCACCCGTTAAAACCGCGATAGTATACCTAAACGACACTTTCCCCTTTCACTTTCTTCACAAATAAAATCTGTTGTCAGCAACAACCACTCAAGGTTACGTCGCATCCAAATGGCTGCGATAACATTCAGATGTGTCACGTCTCTCAAAGACCACTTAACGAAAGGTAATTGCAATAGTGTATAGTATATCAACACGCCGTTCAACGTCTCATGCGGTAATGAGACAGAGGAAGGAGACAACGTTGCTGCCATCAGCAGGTAAGAATGACAGACATAAATCAGTAATTTTCATATTGCATAGCACATTTCATAATGATCTGAACAGCTTCTCACTTCTCCAGTAAAACATTAAACTAGTTATATTATTATTAGTTATTATTTAACTCGCCTTATCCTGTTGTTGTCAATCACGTAAATAAATTAATGTAATCTGTATATCAAGCGCGATAGCTCAGTCTGTGTAACAACCAGGCTAAAGTCTGAACCACCAGATTTCGATTCCTTAAGGGGCAGGATTTTTCTTTTCGTCATTGGCCTTGGAGTCCGTCAAGCCCCCTAAACGAACTGAACGTGGATTGCCTAAAAAAATAAACGTCATGCTTCTGTAGCTGTTAACGTCAAAGACCGGTCAGTCTCGAACATCCACACAGCAGACTAAACTCGCTGACAGTCACAACGTAAAATTACAAAATTCTTCACACAGCAAGGCAGATTTGAAGTAACAAAAATCTCAGATATCCCCACAAATCGATATTAAAATCTATATCGATTAACCCACTGGACTGTGAACGAATAACTGTGGACCTCTATAATTTACGTTACTGCAAGGATGACTTCTTTCAAATTACTGCACAGAACATGAGTGGAAGACCTAAGTTAACAATGACTTCAATTATTTTAACAACAGAATGTCATTCAACTTAACAACAGACATCAAAACCAAATCACAGCACAAATTCAGTTTACAGTTTCACACCCTACATTCTCAGATCCACTTTAATATTGTCATCCGAACCTACGCGTTAAACAACCAAGTGGGTTCTGCCCAAGAAACTGAACAACAAATTACAAGAAAAACCGGTCAAAAGCAGCTTTCGATGACCTTATCCGAACTTGTTCCACACACATTTTCATCTGACTAACGTATAGATATATGGAAACGTAATACAGATAAATGCATGTAAAAATCTAGGCCGCTAGAAAATAATAAACTGTAGGCCTAGGAAACAGAGTTTGATTGAAATCGGTCACGTAGTTTCAGCACAGTTACATGCCGATAGATGGACATCACGAAACTGGCGTATTTTCCTTCATCAGTGGAAAGTTTTATGGTCATTGAGGAATGAAAAGTCCAATGAAACGAGAAAATTATTCTTCCACAAACTTTTGATTTTTGATTCCCCGGGATTACATGACCACGCTTTCCCAACTGTGTAGTATACAGCTTCCTAGCGTCGAGTGGCAAGATGATGATGAATTGGTAATGATGAAAACGAAATCTGCTTACTTAGATACCGTACTTATCGTATTCGCAGGGAATGAAGAAAACCACACAAACCTGAGACGGCCTGACTAGCGATTTTCCAAAGTCGAATCGGGCAAAGTTTATTTAGTTTATTCGACGTACTACGCAATTAATCATTCATAATCACGTGATCCAAAGCAACGTAACCTGTGCAATTAACAAGGTAAGAACAGTTGTACACAGTCATGGCACAAATGGTAACAAAACTATTCTCATTCAACTATACCTTTCCTGTGGCTTTCTTGTATCTTAGTGTCGCTTGCCGTATCAGGTCTCGAACCAAGATTTCTCCGTCTCCACAAGGCACAATCACTCGCACAGAGCCGAAGCACACGGTGACCTTCATAGCAGCTACATGAAGTATCCATAAAATTATGACACGTATATCTATCTAAACGCTCCTCCTCCAGTGTCTTTTGTTTTGGTGTATAAGGTAACAGGATGCACACATAAACGGAGAATGACACAATTGTCTCAACACTCACATTCTCATTATCACATTCACTGAATCATGCAACAACTTATGTTTTCACTTTAAAAAGATACATCACATACTACAACATTCGTTTTTATGAGAGCATGTCATACCTAAACATTCACCTGGTAACAGTTTCGGATTGCCTGCGAACATTCAAACCAGAATAGGAACCGCCTAGTTTAAAAATAATACCAACATTTTGTACATGAGCATCAGTAAACGTAATACAGACCGATATTCATCGAACTTCACCATCTCGACTACTTATGTAGGTAAACAAGCTTACAAACCACCTGGTGAATGAATGCCTTTTATATGGCCACTTGTTTCGTAACGGCAGAAGTTACTTTAGAAACAAAACATATGTTCGTATGAACATTATTAACTAAATTTCTCATTACCCGGAATATTCTAGATCGTATAAATATGTATTGTTTGTTAATCCTGCACACATGTTAAGTAGTGGTAGTTTTCACTATAATACACAAACCAACACACACACAACAATTCCTCGTGCAGTGCTTCCATCGCGTTGACTGCCCTGACAACTTTTCCGAAGCGGTTTCCCCCACTCCATCACCCCAACCACTCACTGCAAATACACCAATGGAAGCCTCTCTAAGCGACATTAAAGTGGCGTTGCTGTGGTACCCAGATGTCTGCTTACCTGTCTCACAGGAATGCAACCGTGCAGTTGTGACTACCACTGACATCTACAGGAAAGAATTCTTTATAGCCGATCGAAGTTTCATGGGATCAGTCGGTAAAACTGGTTACGCTATAATGAAATTCAGTGTATTTCCTAAAGAAATTTAGACGTAAGACTCAATTTATATATGTAATTGGGATAGTTGCCAGGAAATTGGCAAAGTGGATAAATTCTTCGAACATTTCCCAATGTTGTAACTTAAATCTATAACAAATAAACGTAGAACTGACAAAATACAAATAAAGTAAAGTGTCAAATTCTTCAGAGCATAAAATAACCAATGTAGTCAATTCGCTAACGTCTTAACCAATAAATACAATGCAATGCAAATATATTAAAGGTTTAATTCCTTCTGAACACAACGCGAGCTACAATAAACTGTTGTTTGACTGTAACCTGCAATTTTAGCGCTGTATTTTGAAATAATGCCGATAAAATGGGACCACAGTAAAACGAGACAGCGTAACTCACACGTTGTCCGTATGAACGCGGTTAAAAATGCGTGGATCTTACTTTCATTTTCCACAAAACTTCACATCACGTGCTTAATTGAGCACAAGAATACATTTACCTTTTACCTAGAAGACGGTCGTCTTCAAGCTGGTAAGGAAACAAGGATTTGGTTCTTGTGATTGGTACCACTGCTGCGTGTAAAGACAACGCCTTGTTTCAGTTTCTACTTAAAATTATTATACATCAAAAGCCAAGTAGCACTCAAAATAAATCTCTTAACTAATGTTAAAGTAATATTTAAATTAGTCATCACAGTATTTGCAAAAATGGACGGATCTTATTCAATAGTCAGTATTCAATCCCAAAGCGATTGTCAGAGTTGTGCTGCAGACAGGATGTGCCACAGTCAAGGTGTCACGGTATTATATATAAAAGAAACACAAGTGTGATTTGGTAACACTGCAATCTAAATTAACACACACAAACACACATTTAACACCCTCCTTACACAAATCGGCCAACAACCATATTTTTACACGACGAAATTATTCACCGAGACGTCGTTATATTTCTACGGAAGAAATATTCTTTAATCAGTGAAGACATTTACGTAACTTCAGTCCATCAAAAGGACATAAAGAGTTGCGTATAAAAACAATTGTAATTAAAAGTAATTGAAGACCATAAAACGAAAATACCACTTGGTTTAGCAGTCATTTTTCGGTTTTAGCAAAAATGACCTCTAGATATGGGAAAGAGCTTAGAATAAATTCAATACGAGGTCAAATTGTGGATTTTGGAGTGGTTTAAGCGTCGGGCTTATAAAACCACTGTGAATGCAATTTTTAAACAGATTTATACTACGTCACGAGCTACTCAACTTACATTTTTCGAACAAGACAAAATTATTCACAGATAATTATGCTTATTTGCAAGCCAATTGGATTTTATAACTGAAAATTGTCCACTGGGCGTTTGCTAAGCGTTTTAAATAGCTGCTTGAGAGTTAAAAATCCAGCCTAGAGATGTAACTTTGACAATTATTTTGTTAACAAAACAGAAAGTGTTTCTTTTGATGTTCTGAAGTTTCTGTCATTAATCTAAGAGGAACTTCACATTTATAAAAAACAATTAAATCCCTTTAACAAATAAACTATGCTACGTTTATAACGTGGGTAAACAGTTGCGTAAATATAATGTGATAACAAAAAGGAAAGTTGATGTTGAATATTATAATATAAATACGTAGTGTCACAACATCGTGTTACTTTCTTTCTGATTTCACATTTTTCCAAACATTTTGTACAACACACAGGTACTGTCACACTGGTTTCGCTTTTCGTGAAAACAATCCTTAACACCTTAAAACCTAGCGGTACTTATATGTACCACGTGCTTTACAAATTTATAATAGTGCATGTTTTTGGAACAGCCTCCAGAGATATTAAACTGATGGAAAGTATCTTAAATAAATTCACAGAGATCCACAATACTCATGCCTTATTTCTTACCCGAAGCTTGTCTAAGATCAGCAAAGTCAGTGCGGGAATACAGTAAACTACAAATCCGCAGTAGAAGACATTTTAAGTCCGTGCCGCCATTTTATAAAATAGTCGTCATAATTACGATAATAGTAGTGAAACCAAAACTGGTTGAGTCTATGGCGAAAGAAGAACTCAAAAAATATCCGAATCTTAATTTTCGATTAATTTGTAATAGTCTATTATTTTCTTTTATATATTAACAGATTAATAAATAACTATATATGAGTATTAATGTTCTTTTAATAACACGTTAAGGTAATAGTGTACATTTGATAATTAAAAACTTTTTTTTTTGTAAACGATGATAGACATAATTTAGGCATTAATCAACTAATATTAAACTGTTAATCAATTAACATCCGTTGGCAGTATCGTTAATTTCTAATTGCATAAAGGCTTACTGCCAAGAATAACTCTTTACAGAATAAACACGTTTATATGCTTCTTACGTCAACGTGTGAGGGCGGATTCACTTTCAATAAACTATAAAATCGAAAAAAGTAGTTCGCAATTATTCCCACGGGATAAGAATTTTTCATAAAGTAATCGATCGCTCGTCTTCATTGGTCCCAATTATTTATCGCTTTCCTTCAATGGGTGTAGTGACTATAGGTCTATTTGTTTATTGACTATAAACAGATGTATCACACTATGCATTATAAAGCAATATATTTGTACGTTAGGTTAAAGGCAGTTCGCTTTAAGAACCGTCTTTCGAGTTTTTGAGCCACAGACGAAATCGGCCAGTCTCTTTGGTCGCGTACTTTCGACTGATCGAAAGCAAAGAGTATGATAGTGGATTCGAATCTCGGTCTAAGAATTCTTGATTGTCAGTTTCTCTCTGTACTGATCCGTGTTCTTACGAGAGCCCGATAACACAGCAAAGGAGTCTCACGTGACGTGTAACAATGTACAGACACCTCTACATTGTTACAGAACAAGACAACGTAAACAATATTACTACAGCAAACTGAAATAATTATTACGTCTCCAGTTCAATGTGGTACACCATTCATGTTCGTTTAACTTTCAAGACCTGACCATCCGTGGAACGACGCCTTCCTTATCCCTACTCTTTATCACCTTGCAGACATTTTCTAGGAAAGAGACTGCCTAGCTCGTTGATAATACAAACTCAGTTCAGACCGAGAATTCCTCGCTGGCGGCTTTAAAGTTTTATGACGAGCTCGGACAGAATCTGCGAATAGTTGTGTTCGACGTTCAGAGAGGGCAGCGACAACGACTTGTCACCGTCCTTCAGAGAAACCATGGCCAGGACCTGAAACCGGGAGAACATGTTAGAAACATTCGCTCGCACGTGTTTCGACAGCAAATAACGCTAATAAGCAGGGCTTCATGAGCTGGCCTCTACGAATAACAACAACAACAACAACAGACCTGTTGTCCCTGAGCAAGCCTAGACGCGTGAGACCCTGACCCAGTCCTGTCAGGGATCAGTGGCAGGATGGACTCGGTGACTGCGCTGACCAGGCAAGGGTCGTCGTCTCGTAGAACCCTCGTCAGCACGGTGGAGGGGGGCTTCTTCGGTCTGCAATCATCGTTAATTCGTTTAACAGGGGAATAACTGACGTTCTGCGAACCAGTCGTCTACCAGCAGCTGCACATATTTCACGAAGTCTCCCAGGCGGTAATGGAGTCCGGAGGACGACTGGAATCACTAAATACAGGAATAACTTATCTGACGAAGGAATGCACGAGGCCGTTTCGCGAACTATGTAAGCTATTAAAGTGCTGATTTAATTATCATACATTCATTTAGTTAAATTCTCTATATACAAGGCTGTTTCCACCTAACATACGGTTTTTTTTGCGGTCCACAGATTCCAGTATAACTGTCTCTAGTTGCATAATTTTATTTTTGAAACAAAAATTACTGATTTTATTCGACAACTCTGGTAGATGTCCACCAGACTACACAGCGCAACAACCCAGAAGACAGCAAAACCTGAAATCTTACATTTATTCTACAATTTACACGGTTTCACAAACAAATGATTGATAATCCGTACATACATCTCGCCTTGCATTCCCTTCGCCCTTCAAGGGTCCAAACGGTCCTGCCGACGAGAATAAACACTTAGCTTCAAGGCCACAGAAGGACTTGACACCCGTTACCGCGCGGCTCCAAAGTTGCCGGCTTTGCTACGACGCACTCACTCGTGCTGCAACGATGACCTTGAAGTGCGCAATTGGTGACGACTACTATAGCGGCCTCTAAGAAAAAAGTGCACAGGTTATAAACAACTTTCGTTTTCAGTCTGCCACCAGGCAGAGAGAACGTTCTCCATAACCCACCTTCCTCTGCGAACTACAGTCACTCTCGGCTGCTCCTCTTCGATTCCTCTGAAGAGACTGAAGAGCAGATCTGTGTTTGCGACGCTCACTTCCCGCAGAGGGTGAAGTCCGTCCTCGGGGGGAGACGTCGATCTCACACCTAGAACCGCCACGAGTAAGTTGTCAAACACTACAACGGGTTAACTCATGGCAAGGTCAGTCAGTGGCTGGATGCAGGGGGGGCGGACGACTGGGATACGACGTCGAGACTGGCTCTGGAATCCGCCCACATTCTTCATCCTGAGGTTGAAAGGGTCGGAACGCGGAGCTAGGCGTTTAATAAAGGACAGGCAGACGTCTTCATCGTGCTTCGAAACAAGACACCCCAAGATCAACAATTTATTCGTTTCGTCTTGTCTATACGTCCGTCCGTCCGCCCTGAAGTGACAGGCGCCCAAATCACTAAGTTTCTAAGTAACATTTTAAATGGCGTCTTTATTTTCAAATACTCGTAACTAGTATTCATACAAGCGGACACCTCTCCAGCTGTTGTTTGCAAAGAATCCTTTCAATTTCTAGATACGACCAACTGAAACAATCTCGAAATGGTAAGATGCCTTATGGCGACGGAGTACAGATTACAGGCTATATACAGGCGTAAACTATTATGTCATAAATTTACTAAAATTTACAGTTAAAATTTTAAATCAAGCATGTTCATATGATTTAAGTGGAAAATCCACAGAACAACTGATCAACAACTCATAATGAAATTAAATCTACATTTCGGGTAGGCGATGCGTGAAAATACGTTACGAAACATAACCTAACCTGAAGCAACCTTCGTTTATTTTACATTTTAACTGTTCTCACACAGTTGCTTCGTAGAATAAGTAAATATTTTAGGGAGTAACAAGTTACAGTACAACATTTGCTTCTCATTAGGGAGGACTACTTTACCTAAACACTTCAATTAATGTATGAGATTCCTAGACGCAAAAGAACTGGAATGAATTCAGTCTAAATAATGACAAAAGATGTCAGCACGAAAATATGACAGTCATGTTAGTTCAAAATATTGGCAATCAATAGTACTAATAAAATTAAAATAAATGATACGTGACAAAGCCTTGCACGTGTAAGAGTCCCATTTCGAAGTAAAATAAACGCAATTCTGCGTTTGTGGAAATTACGATTTTCAACACTTTATGAACTATCTGTTCGATGATATGGGCAGATTTTACACGAGAGAGCACGCTAATGGACCAGCTGTCGGCTGAAGAATGCGAAGATGTGTCCAGCGTAAACAAATTAACGTAAAACACTTTCAACAGTAGAGATATTAGCCAACATATCTACAACACAAATTTTGTCTAAGAAAATTAGCTTCATGAGTCATACATCAAGACTTGATCCACTGTAGCGCTTAGTCGCAGTCACGGTAGATGGAAACAACGTGTTGTTGTTGTTGTTGTTGTTATAGGCGATCGATATGCAGCTTCACACTTTGAAAGGATGAAAAGGAACCGATGATTAATAATGCATGTCTCTCCCACTTGTTTATCGTCTTGAGAATGTGAATAAGCGATCATAATAAGACTTGTAAAATATGTAGACTCATGCTCATAGTCTACTTCATTAGGGCCCAATGGGAAGCAAGTGACATTTCCACGAAAATTTCTAGCACCGCTTTCCCATATGGATCTTTTGAGTGCCTTGGAATGATTGATATTCTGACAGGCGTACAAAAATAACTTGTCCACTATTCATTCAAAGAACGCATAAAAGCGGTCTGTCCCGAGACGACATCTGACATCGATTCCTGCCCTGACTACAAACGGACAGCGTAAAAAGTCCAAACGTTTATGACATTTGCGCATATTTTACTGTGACCGAGTTCTCGAAAGGCTACCTGAAATCGATACATACGGAGTCTGTTGTAATGCGCATGTCTGACTGGCTCTACTGTTAGGCTACCAGAGCAGTCAAACTGACTCACAAAACCTTCCCCAGAAGCTGGTTACATCAACATGAAGTGGTAACATGTACAGCGCGTACACGGGACCTTCCGAATATGAAGCGGCGGTACTAACCACTTCACTGGACTGCGACGTTCAGTACGTGCTGCTACCAGTAAACTCCATCGACTTCCCTGCGCAGTTAAAACAAACCGGCCAACACAAAATAATTAGACTGTACGCGCTGAAGTACTTGTTACCTGCAGCGACGCTCTCCACGTCGTCTTTGGCAGCACCGAACGAGGAAAGAGGCGGCAGGACCGGGTAGACCGCCCCGGGCGACAGGGAGTTCGTGTTGTTCGGCTGCTGCCAGAATGACTGAGGCAAAGCCCGCAACTTCATCGGTAGAGGTTCTGCGACAGAGAAACAAGCAGCGAGGAGCATTCTATAGCAGCGTCGCCATTTAATAACCCCTGACTCCAGCCTTTGACGTAGCAAGCCCCAAACTCTGGCCCAAAAGTGTAGCTCTGTTTTAGCAAAGGTTTATGACTTACTTATCGAAATAAATCGAGAGGCTTATGGCACCATGTCCCAGTGTCAGTTTTCCCCTAACAACTTCTGAACAAGGGCTTAAAAATCACACTACAATTTCATCTTTCTACAAACACAACGGCCTGAGAGCACGTGACGCATTAGAATTACGAACGCAGCGACAGATATTAAACAGAATTCCATGCAAATTGCCTACACGCGACCACGTAAAATAGGCCTATCATATTTTTATAGCCACGGTGGTCTAGCGGTTAGAACGCTGGCCTTGGGGTCTCGGGTTCGATTCCCGGCGGTGCCCGAATTTATAACTTGTGTTGGGCAAGGCCGTGGTCTAGGCAACACGGAGTTTTCCTCCGGGGGCTTCCCCGGTTTCTCCGTGGCATCCCAACAATTACTCCATTCACACACAGAAGAAGGCAATGGCAAACCACTTCTGGATCATCTGCCAAGAACGTATATGAACAGGTCCCAGTCCGAGAAAAGGATGGAAGGATCCTGTTCATATGGACCTGTCGTCAGACAGAACACTAAATAAATAATAAACTATTGAAGCTGTGGTGCAAGTCGTGAGACAAATCACAAACCTGCAGATTCTGTATGGAAAATGTATTCGCAAATCACTATATTCTATAACAAATGTAGTCGGAAATCCCTAAGACA